ACCGGTGCAGTTTGTACCGTACACTCGTTGGTATTTTTATTAGATTTGTTACGAGCGTTAACAGTTTTACTAAGTCAATTTTTCTACAAACATTTTTAACAGTGCTTTTAGAGAAAATACAAGCCGTTTTAAACGATCTACTGTTTCGGCAATGGTTGTCGTTGCTATATCGGTGTCTGAAAATAGCTTTGATGTAAAAATTTTGCTTCATGTGATAGCCTTGCTTCAGACAAATGTCGTTAATCAAGTCTTGGTTAAATCAATGGAGGCCTTTTTTCCTCAAAGTAATTATTCTATTAAACTGCTGCATAAATTGTCGTGGAGGCTTCCATGGCATTTCAGGGAAAAGACGCACTTTATTGCCATCTCGCTTTTATTTCATGGTTTTGTTATAAGATGATGTATGTTGAGCCTTGCAAAACTAACCGTGTAATATATCTGCAATCAAGATGCTCATAGATTCAGGTTTCATGACTTATATACGAAATTGAGCTGCTTATCTCAGTAAGTGGTGAAACTTAGTCATTTTACGGGACGTTATCAACACATGTATGATTTATATGCACTTGTGACGAAAGCTTCGACCAGAGAAGGACCGGTGGATATTCAGCAAGACTTCAAGAAGTATTTAATGCTTCAAGTTATGATTATATATTTTTCACGACAAATGTATAAGCGCACGCCTTCCGTAAGTTATGTTTAACAATGCTGTACTTGTGTCCTCCGCATAGTTTGTAATGCCCACAACTTATTGTTGTATATAGCCAATACAGAAGCTAATGATTTCGCGTCATCAAAAATATCGAGCCATCCGGTATTGTAATTGCACAGATTTTTTATTACATGCCACTAAACCCTCGAAGGCTTGGTTTTAATAAATTTAAATGTTTGAAAGACAAGCATTAAAACGATTATAAAAAAAACTTATTGAGTAGTATGACTCACTTAAGAGCCGAAAGTAATCAATATCTTACACTCTCCATAGATAGGTGTTCTCAAAGCTATATTATTAATCATTCTATACATATGATTGCCGCAGCGTCATTTAAAAAGTTACATTATCGGTTATTCAAAACATTTTTAACTTATAATTATATAACACGTTGAAGGCGCTACAGACCTTTTATTTTAAATGTATCATGTCGGGTGATATAAGCTCGCTATATATCTAGCCTTAAAAATAGAAAATATTAAATATTTTTTTATTTTAGATTCAGCTCAAGTTAAATTCTTATAGCACATTCAATATATGATCACGTCGCAGTAGCTTTAGATGAATATGTTGTATGATCATAAGTCCAAAATCTTTTACGCGCATATGTTATTTTTTTAAAGAATATTAGAATTGGCCGCCCTAGTGGTTTCATTTCGACATTTCCGTAGTTATCAAAGTCTTTTCATACGTCGTGCAATACAATTTATAACATACCTTTGATGCTGGCTAACCAAAGTATCAAACGAATGTAATTAGCCTTTTCGATTTGTAAAATCGGAGATTTAGCACCCGGCGTTGTATGAGTGTAAGCTATAAATTAAGACCTAAGACACACCAATAAGAGCTATATGTTTATTCGGTCTCAATAGTACTGGTATGTTTCCTTTGTACCTTTTTTGCTTTGTTGCTTATACCATGTAAAATTTGTGTTTTTATGCCTATCGCTTTGATAAAGATGTAGTAATTCCATACGATACACTTTATTAAAGTATGTACCGTACCATGGAAAAAGTATAATGGATTTGGTATATTTCTGATACAGTCAAATGTGTGTGCTATCCACCATATATTTCATAACACATTTGATCGGTGGTGCACGTAAGCAGAACGTGTTATCGTTATTATATAAATTTTAGCTGAACAAATACGACAAGCATTCAATAACATATACGCAAACCCGGGACAGCCATCATATTTAATAACATACATATATTGTTGTTGAAATCATCATGGTAATGTTCATCCTTTTACGTGTAGTAAATTTCGACTACACGTTTCTTCACATTGACCGATGCGCCTGTCGCTCAGCGCACCGTCATTTTCGTTGGATGGATCTCCCGCTCCACGAAGTTGAAACTTCCTGCCTCCAGCGACTGGCGACGAACAAAATTATTCCAAGCCCCACAGTCAACTAGGGCGCTAAGTGACAAATCCTTTGTCACTTCCAATATCAAGGTAATGAACGACATCCATCACCAAGTGAAGAGACACACAGGGACTGCATGTCGGGAGCAACCTTCGTCAAGAGATTTGCTATTTCTCTTGTGTTGCTTGATCAGAAGGGCGCTCCTCCCCTACTGACCCCGACCATTTTTTGATGGTCCATCTCGCTGTTGCGGCTTTTCAACAGCATCGGACCCTCGCCCCCCAGTTCTTCTTTCTGGTGGAAGATTACTGCGCTCAGCACCGCGAGGTCCTGAGCGGGGGATACTACATTCATATACTTAGTGTCCCAGTTTATGACAGCGATGGCATCTCACCGATTGCTTCTCATTCGCAGGGCGAGGTTTCTCGCCCTCGACATTACAGAGATCCATTGGCTCTGGACCTCCGACCGCTGATAGTCTCTGCGGACGAAAAGAGGTCAGCGTAGTGTGTGCCTGTCTCACAATAATGTCTTCCTGCTCCACAGCGAAGATTGCTTCGGAGAGCGTCTTTGGCTCTCCGCGGAACAGGTGGTCCCTGACGTGACCACCGGACAGCCCTTGAATGAATATTGTGATAAACACAAATTCAGTCACAGGGTTCACTAATATGCAGCTTGCAAGGTAGCGTACATGCTGAGCGTAAGCGTGAACCTTACGCTTACCCTGTTTGATTCCGAGGGGTTCAGATAGTGTCCTGAACTCTTCCCTGGGATGCTCAAACGTCTCGCTGGGCAGGGTCTTGAAGATGATCAACGACCCAAACACGTTTGGGTCGTGCACCTTGAGTATCAGGACCTTTTTCCTGGAGTCCCCTGCCAATTAGGACTGAGCGAATGCAACTTGCATTCGCTCATCGTCGATGCTACGGGCCTCGATGGCATCGTCGACTTCGACGAACCATTTTAACAGGATGTCGTCCTCGGCTCCGTGATACTTGGAGATCTCTAGCTTTAGAGACCCAGTTCGAAACTCCCGTGTCGACTGCGCGGACTAAGACTGTCTCAGTTCTTCGTTCCGCTGGTGATATTGTTGTTGCAACAAGGTCACCTGCGCTCGTGACTCATCAAGTTCTCGTTGCAAGAACTTGCTAATGACGGGATGCTACTGGTCTCTATCCTTTGTGGATAGCATGGCCCAGATAGCTTCTTCGCCAACGGTCGAACTCATTCGTTCAATGGCACTCCGTTCGATATCGCTCAAATGGAAGCAGCCTTCACGGGCTCCGTGAAATCTATCGCCTTCGACTTCGTCCAACATGTTCATGTTGGACGATGCAAGTGTGGTCTATGGATGGACTACAAAGTGCTACCAGGTGTAACGGGGCTCCGACAACTACATACTGGTCACCAGTACGGAGTTTACTGTCACTGACTGTAGTGATAGTCAGTGCCTAGTTAGGTGTAGAACTACACAGAGGAAGGTAGAACGACTAAGGTGAAAGACTTCAGTCGTAGAAAAGTAAAACTGTTATTGATATAGTTAAGTCCAACATCTCTTGTATCTCGGTTTGCCCTGACTTAATTATACTAGTGTAACTAAATGTATGGCGACGTCTACTCACCACCCGTTGCGCGCGTCTAGCAGCGATTGGTGGGTTAATATCATCGCGATATGAACCAATGAGTAGACCCTTCGGTCATCTTCAACAATATCATCATGCTCTGTGATATTGCTGAAAAGATATTCATCGTAATATTCTTTATTGTCAAATTGTTCTTAATAACGATATCATGTAACGGGCTATCTCGTTACATCAAGAACGTTACACGTGTGTCTCTTGGCTACAGCAGCCTCGTCAGATACACCGAGAGCGTCACTTTACGTGACGCGCCCCGTACATTCGCCGGACTCGTTTGAGCACCGCCTTTGCCATCCGGGCTTTGGAACTTTACAGACATCTTGCAACCTTAAACAGATAAATAGACTGGTCTGCATCTCAAAAGATAGTTAGACATTGGTAGTCTTTTAGGTAATAATGTTTACGGCGTCCCTCGGTAACAGGGCTTTGTGCGAGATACAAAAGGCTCAAACTGCCCACTGTGTACGTCCAGTGAGTGGCGGCGGCCGGGCGGCAGATGTGGATGCGGTTCCGATGTCTGTTCTATGACCCGCCCAGTGTGGTGGTCAGGCAACATCTGGCGTAAGCCGGCGACATAGAAGCACTTGTCAGGTTGGTCGTGGTCTAAATGGTAGTCAAGGGTTCGTTCGACCTGAAGTCGGTACCTACAGGGTAGTCATGACTGAGAATCACCAGCTCTCGTTTGCACAAGACATTGTCAACGCGACAGCAAACAAATGTTGTGTCATCCACCAGCTGCGACCGCTATCAAAATGTCGGCGCTCATTGCTTGAGTGGTAGTCACGCATGAGCTGACACCATCTTGTTATTTTGTTTTCCTGTCGGAGCCCACGTCAGAGAACGTTCGATTGGAGTGTCGCTGGTCGATTTGCAGTGAAGCTGGTTCAGTAAATACCCTTGTAGCTAATACGATTGGGTGACTAAAACAATATGAGGTCGTAAGGGATATTAGGTAGGAGAGGTAGGTGGTCACGTGGTCTCCTTCTCTTGCCCAATTACGGCCGGCAACCTTTACTAACTACAAGAGGTATTTGCGAATAGAAGATTAGCCAAAGGGATCTACTACAATACCAGAGCGTGAGAGGCATCGGCAGCTGCGTGTCCCGTTTCGTCGTCTGCTTCTCGCTGGCTCTGGATCTGGACGACGCAAATCAGATGTAAGGTGGCCCAATGGGGATAGAAGCGCTATAGGTCGTGGTCGAGGGTCGAAGTAGCGGCTCATTGGTCATTCCTCAATCTGCTTCCGAGCCGACAAGTCCCAAGTACCCAATTGACGGCCATGCGCTTCATCTTCGCCGCCGCGTTCGCTGTAGCGTTTGTACTCGTTTCGACTTCATCGACTGCTTCTTCCGTCGCCGAACCATCCGGCGCGTCGCAGATTGTTCCACTTGCTCATGATTTTAGCGGGCGTGGAGAAGGCCGTCATCATCTGCGACCGGACAGGATGTCCACTGGAATCATCAATGCTGGCGAGGAAGAGAGGAAAACCCGGGGCCCTCTTGTGGAGGAGTTGAAGCATATTTTCCTATTGGCATATGTGCCTTACAAATGGGTTGAACACATGTTAGCTAGGCTCAAGGAGAAAATTGGGCTCATCTTTGGTGCGTCGAAGAACAAGGTCAAGAGTACTTAAGGGATGATGGGTACCTCTGTGGACACGACCACAAGAGATGTGAATTAATGACAATACTGCGGTGTTGAATTCATGTACGTGAACTTTCATTCTTGTCGATGTTGCACATGCGCTGAGCACGCTCAGTTTCGTAGGAAAGTGGTTTGCACTTCGTGAATCAATCGATCTTTTGCCTTTCATTGGTTTGTTGTGCTCGTGTTCCATGTCGTCTAGTCTATGATAGAAATGATGTGATCTGTCGTGTCGTCCGCAGTGCTGGGCGGAAAGGCCCGACTCGTAGACGCTGACCCCTGATGAAGCAGATACAGCCACACGAAGGTATCGTCATAGCAGCAGCGTATCGTACATCAAACGATTGCTTCTACGCATATATGTATCTCTGGAAGAGAAGCTAGTTGCGCCTGCACGCTGTCAGCGTACACCTCAAACTTGTCTGGCAGTGACTAGAAAGTCAAGATCGACGACTACCGCAGCTCGTCGCAATTGACAGCATGACAAATAGAATCGCATCCACTCGATCGCAACGGTCAGGTAAACGCGCACGCTCTGCGTCACAAGAAGCTTCTGGCGCTCGTAGTCCTCCACGCTTACCTTCAAGCCCGATACTTTGCTGTAGACTACTCGTCAGACCAGTCTCAACATGAGTCGAGCGACGTCGTGAGTCTCACTCATGGCATGATCACGTGAGTGTCTCGCCACAGACGTTACCACACTATTTAAAACATCACAGCCACGTGACCTCGAACGTGCTTTCATCGAGCTCGTCTTGTCACACATTCTTTCATGGCATTCAGTCCACGCGACTGGATGCGGCTCGACGAGTGCAGCGCCACGTTGGTCGCGCATAGACTTACGCAGACGAAGTTCGTCATGTATCGAGCAACGTCGGCCCAGTCTCCATTGGGTTGTGACAGAGATTTCTCGCCACTGAACTGCAAACGTTGTGAGCTCGTCAACTTTGCACCGTGCAGCGTTTGATTAGGTGCTCAACAATGTAGTCGTTGTATCGGATTCGGGTACTTTGCCCGGCGTGAGCACTATCTGCATTTCCTGACCTCTGACCGAGACGCTTGTCGCTGAAAGGAGCGTGATTGTTTGGACAACGGCGTGTCCATCAGTGGTGGAACGTGGTGAAAGGGCCAAGCGCAGCACCCCGTAATGTGATGTTATAATGAACCTCTTACGTCGTATTGTCCGTATTACGCAACCACTTTAGGCAGCTGCAGTTTCCACGTTATCTACTCCTGCCGAAACTGGACAAAGTGATTCGTTTGGAGAAGCCATCATGTGGCGGTCAAATCTAACAAAGATGCTTACGCTTCTTGGCAAACTCCTGTCCTTTTGTCACATGACAGTAAGCCCTCGACGCAGCGTATTTACAACCACGTGACAATAGGACAGAGATTGTCAAGGATCGTGAGCATCTTTGCAGCTCTGACCGCCCTATGATGGCTACCGCTAGACAGCACGATCGGACACTAGTTCGAAACAAGCACAGCGTTTTAGCCTCGTCAATCACTGGGCCACACTTTCACTGACCAAGTAGCCCCTCGTGATTTCCTGGCGGTGGCTGTTCTTCGCATGCGTGTATGGCTGTTCTGTTTTCGCGACTTGCGAGGCTCAACTGGTCTTTACCACGGTCTAAGCGCAGTCCATTGTCATACGAGCAAAGCAATGGGCTCGACCACTGGTCGGTGGAGCTCTCAACGGCGACAGCGTCTATTCTTGCGTGGGGTAGACACCGTCGCGTGTCATCGCATTGTCTCTTCAGTTCGATCCCAGCACGAGTTCAGCATTCTTCACGACAGCTGTCAATGGAACAACAAATTTTTGTCATCCTCATGAACACGACCGCTAGAAAACAAAGACCGTCATAACATCACTATCTCGTCACGCGTCTACAACATGCAACGTCACCACGTATAATGTATTGCACGCTTCAAGCTGCAGTTCTTTGGCGCGACTGATTCGTGTTTCATCCACACAGGTCCAAACATGCTGACAAGTGAACCAGCAGCCAAACATATCAACGGATTATATTGCATCTCTAAGCATCATCAACGCCTACATCTGCCTTTTCGTTCCATTCAACACGCATAGTCTGCGTCGACCAACAACATCAGCCAGACAGCTGTTGACAAGGTGGAACTGAGACGAACACAAACTCTAACAACGACTTGAAAATGAGAATGAATGTGTATGAGGTCGCTAAAGCATTACAGGACGTTCACACTTAAGAGCGTCGATCTAGATCCGTTCGACGATATGGCATCCGACGTGACTGCAGCTATCGATTTGCAGTCTACGTAGTAAACAGACGGTCTCGCGTAATGTATCACGCTAGGCGGACATGCAAGGCTCACATTCGAAGTCGCAAGAGAATGAGCACTTTACGGTAAGGACAAGATATTGGAACGTAATGTTGTAACGGGGTTACACGTCGACTGGCAGTCGACAATAGGTGTGATGCACACAAGGGATGGGGTCTCATTTAAACTGATATTAGAACACAGTATCAATTGTCGAAGACTGATGTCTGTCAACCATTGATTACGGAATCATTTGAGAGGTTTATTTTGGACATTGGTTACTAGGTTCAGTACGTCGTTGTACAGTGTTCTTTTAGGTTAACTGAAACTAAGTTCAGTTCCCATTTTGATCACTTAAGACACGTGCCTCACGAGGCGTCTTGTGATCGTTTGAGGAGGTAGTAACGCCTTGTTTAGGGCAGCTACCCCTCGTAAATTCTGTGCGCTGATTCCCTGAATCGTTTGGTCCCCCTGGAACAGATACCGTAAGCTCTCTGAGCTTGTTGACTCTTTATGTCGGGTTCCTTGAACCAAAGTTGCTCGTACAGCGTTAAGTTCCCTCTGACTTAGAAGCTGTATAGCTCAGCTACACTTCGAAGCACTTGTAATTAAATTTTGTTTGAGGCTTTACGACCAATCCTCTATGAGCATGACAAAATCCTCATCTCTTCCTGAGGCCTCAAAGGTCGCGCTTCGTAAGTTGATCGCTGGCCGTGGGCTCAGAATATGTGGAGTTCTAAATGCTGAAGGTCCCGATCTGCTAAATGCACGTGTCGAGACCTTCATGCAGCTTTAAAAGGCCCGTCTTGGTCAGGTTCGAAAGCAATTGTCGCCTGCTATGCCAACACACTTAGTGGCTATTCCTAATGAAGAGGCTAAGGCTCGTCCATTTAGGGTGGACGTCAAACATTATGTCAGGAAGAATAGAGAAAATTTTACATTCTGGATCAGTAATATTGAGATGGCCATGAGATCTGGTCCGATCTCACTGGAGCATCAGCGAGTCTTTCTGGCCATCTTAAATCTCGGAGGGAGAGCAAGAGAGTGGGTTCTGACGTGTATCACGTCTGTCGACTAGGCGTATCCCACATGGGTCGCTCATGCGGGTAATCTTGCGAGTTTCCTCGCCGCCCAAACAGTCTTTTCGCGTGCGCTCACGCTTAATATATCTAATCTTCAGAAAAGAATGAGTAGACGGACTATGTTCAAGAGTTGAGAATTCTGATGGCTGCTATTTGGTCCGACCTTCTCCCTGAGACAGTCTATATGACTGTCTTTATGAGAGTCTTCGAACTGTGGCGACCAGAACTGAGGTCTGTCGGGTTAATCCCTCTACTTTTAAAGAAGCTGTGATAATCGCTCAGAATGCTGAGCTCAACGATAAGTCGGTCAGACTTGGTTGGAATCGGTACAGCCTCAGCTTCGCAAGTGCAACCACAACAAACACTTCGGCTTACTGCAAGCCTAAACCGATGGATCTCATCAATTTCTAAAGATGAAGATGAAGCTGATCTCCAGATTGCGGAGCACCAACAGGAAGTATGCCATTGTCATACATGCGGAAGCACTTAACAATTGCGTCTTACTTGGCCTTTGCGGAAGCAGCGCCAGACTACTATGAGCCGAAACCTCGGCCCTAACCATAAATCTGGAATGGCACGGGGAAACGTCGATATCCAGTAGACGCGGGGCGCCCTACTGGGGTAGAACTAGGTTCTTTAATTATCAACCAGGTAGAGCAAAGCAGGGTTAGCCCCAAAGAGATCTGTGCCGGTCAGCACAGAGCATGGATACAAGTCTAGCTTATTATTTGCCCGAGGCGACACTGAAGGCTTTGAGAAGCATTAGTTAAATTTAATCAACCATGGAGCATCATGGAATTATGCTCGACGTCGTTCCTACGACGGAAGTCAGCGATACGCTGCAGCGATCAAAGCGCATGAGGGTGATTCGATCACCGTTCGTTTAGCAACTGGTAGTCTCTTCACAGCGCCTAAAGCTCCGTTGAACTCGGGTGTGAAGGTTTTGGACTTTGACGGCATTGGACGCTGTATTGTTCTCGATTAGGATATAGATATGATATCATCTTACGTATAGACTGGCTTGAACGCCATGATCCATGGAATGATTGGAGGTATGAGACCTTAGGCACAATGCGCACTGTTCCTGGCGGAGGTTGAGAGATTCATGGACCCACCTTGGATCGACAGCATCAGCACTATTGGCACGAGCCATTGACAAATGATTTAAACGTGCTGAACATTTGTGGTAACCGACTATGGAAGTTCGCTGTAGAGGAACTGATCGCATATCCGTTATGTCCGAGCCAGTTAACGGTTGGCTGACCGGTCCCACATCTGTTCATATCGCGTCCATGCGACAGTCAGACTAAAATGGATGTTAGAAGGGGCAGGTTGGGACCTGCGATCTTGGGTCAAGGTATGAGGCGGAAGGTAACGTTGGCGATCAGTCGATCAAGAAGGGAAAAGCGATCACCAAGGCAATAGCGATCAAGGAGGCGATCGGGAACGTGATTTGTGATCAGGTATGTGATCGAGATCAAGTATGTGATCGCGATCAAGTTAGTGTGGATTGCACCATGCGATCCGCGATCAGCAAGGCGATCGCGATCGGGAGGCGATCGAGGTCGTGATCGGTGATCAGGTATGTAATCGCGATCAGACAAGTATA